CTCGTTACCAGGCAACCGGCAGGTCGGCCATTTTGGTTAGGTCATGTGACTAGTAGCTTTCTCAGGTGGAAACGAAACTTTACTGTCTGTATGAAATCGGAAGATAAACGATGTCCTAACTCTAAACCTGACCCTAACCCTGAACCTAAACCTAACCCTGACCCTAAACCTGACCCTAAACTTAACCCTAAATCTGACCCTCATCCGAATCTTAACCCTAACCCTGAACCTAACCTTAACCTGACCCTAACCCTAACCCTGACCCTAAACCTGACCCTAACCCTGAACCTAACCCTGACCCTAAACCCGACCCTAACCCTGACCCTAACCCTAACCCTGAACCTAACCCTAACCCTAACCCTTAACCTGACCCTAACCCTGACCCTAAACCTGACCCTAACCCTAACCCTGACCCTAACCCTGACCCTAAACCTGACCCTAACCCTAACCCTGAACCTAACCCTGACCCTAAACCTGACCCTGACCCTAACCCTAACCCTGACCCTAAACCTGACCCTAAACCTGACCCTAACCCTAAACCCTAAACCTGACCCTAACCCTTTTTCAGTCTGTGAGCTAAAGGGCCAATAAAAACCTTTTTTATTGATCATTTCTTTATCATTTAACACAATTTCAGCTAACAAAATACTTCAAACCCTACACAAATTCTTCCTTATGAGGAGAATCAGATCATGTCTGAGATCATTTTACACCAAATGAGGAACATTTAGAAATTAACAACATGATTTTAGCACATTAACTCATTGACTGGCAGCCATTTTCAGAACAGAGTCCCATACTGCCAGAGTTTTTTGAGCATTTTGACTGATTTTTCTAGAGCCACAGAATAGTTTGTGCTATGACTATGTAAACACCGAACACACCAAAAGAAAGAGTAGACTCTCTTCTTTCATCAGGAAAAAAAATGTGTTTCTACCTTATTCCGTTCTTCCTGGACTTGCGTCTCACCGGCGACATGTTCTCTCATAGAACCGTTCCCTTTTTCTTATTTGCCTACAGTCTATGCTCATCTCCCATCAAAAGTGGCACTGCCCCCTACAGGCTCAATTTGTTACTACATACTCTGTCTAGAAGCCCATATTTACGGACAAGCTTTAGCAGATCGTCCCCCAGACACTCTCGTTAAAAAACATAAAAGACGTCTATAGACGTCTTTGGCAGCCAATGAGTTAAACACTTCAAACCCCACACCTAGTCCCTCTAAAGTGGTTAAAGGGGATAAATAGTGCTGCACCTGTCCGTATGCGAACACGGTGGCGTTGTAGCCCTCCAGGCATCCCTCCACCAGCCGCTCGGTGCAGAGTCGGTAGACGGTTTCCTGGCTGGCGTCCACATCGAAGACGTGGTCGAAGGTGAAGGCCTTGTCCTTCCCCAGGAAAACCTGCGGCTCCCCCGGGGTCACAGACGTGCACACGTGGCAGCCCTCCATCCTCTCCCTGGCCAGCTGGGGCCGGATCCTGAGGGCCAGGGAGAGTTTTATGCATTTGTTTTACTTCAAAGCACTAAAACAATCAGGAATAAAATAAAAAAAACTTCAAAGCACTAAAACAATCAGGAATAAAGACAGTTTTTATGCACTTTTTTACTTCAAAGCATTAAAACAATCAGGAATAAAGACATTTTGAACTTCAAAGCATTAAAACAATCAGTAAAAAATATATTTTGGACTTCAAATGATCAAAGAAAATCAGGATAAAAAGCCATTTTGACTTCAAAGCATTAAAACAATCAGGAATAAAGACAGTTTTTATGCAC